GCCTCCTTCGATGGGAGAAAGACAGCTTCGAGGCGAAGAGTACCCATCTCGGTATATGGTTGCCTCGCCCCGGCGCGCGTAGAAATCACCGTGGTGGCCGGACAAATCGTCGATCGCACCGCAAACACCGCTGGGAAACGGAATTCGAGAGACACTGAAGATATATTCTTAGGTCATGAAATAAATTATAGATTTACCACCATTGCACCATATAATACGAGTCATAAATTTAACAAAAGTTAGTACAAGAATTGTTGTAATGCTTAATACATTTGATAATATAATGGTTCATGAACTAATTGATATAATATCTTATCTCGTGATTCATGTAATTTTTAATAGAATGTAGGTTGTATACTTTGGTGACAATGATTAGGAAAAATTGTGTAGATATATCTAACAGTCTGTCTTTCCAAGTGTTGTTGAACTTGTAAAGAAACGTTTCACAGTTTCAAGTGTTTACCGTCGTAGACAAGTGAAACGACTCGCGTAGCACGGTGGCTAGGTACACGTAGAGAACTCACGCGAACTCGAACGGTATCTTTTTATTCGTCGGGCGTCGCCCACGACACGGTCTGATTGGTTAACGAGCTGGTGAACGAGGCATATCTTTAATTGCCTTCGTAAAGGCAAGCGTTCACCTCGCCGCGGCTCGTTACGAACTGGCGATAGCCCGATGCGCATCTACACCCTCCTTATCTCCGTACGAGATTAGCCGGCCGATCTTGAAGCGGGCCCCATCCGAGTTGCGTTTAGAGTTTAAGGACCGCAGGCTCGGGCGAATCGTGTCAAGGACGACCGCGAGGAGGGACCCTTTACCGATCAACCTGTTATCCAATTATTGCCAATTGCTGGGACAGACCTGTCCCTCGACGCGACGACGGTTGCGCAACGATCGCAGCGGGTCGCCGCTCTTTCGGCATCGAGTCGATCGTTGCCGTATCGTTAGAGACGGGAACGTTTAGCACCAGGGGCCGTGGAAACATTTCTCATTGTCAGAGCCGCTGTCGTCCCGATGATTTATCGAGGCCTCGATCGAGATCGCGGTATTAATTAGTATCTATCGGTGAGAGGTGAGAGCAGCGGATGGTGCCTGGCTCCGATTAACGAGGATAAATATTGTTCCGAGAGAATCACTTAACAACCGATGAACGCGATAACTCAGGGATTGAAAACGTCGAACGATAGAAAAGTAGGGGGCCAACAATGGATTTGTGAAATGTTTTCGTACCATCTCATCCGGCAAGTTGAAATCGTTCTACGATTTAAAATAGAATAAATGTTGCACGCACGATAGCCCGGCTTTTGTCCGGTGTGATATCGCGGCGCGGGGGAGAGCCCGGGATACCGGAAGTCAATTGTGAACGTGCGCCGGGCGACAGGAAATCAGCGGCTGGCCGGACGGAAAGCGGTTAAACAGACCGTAGATTCGATCGATTCGAGCGGTACGAAAAAGCTTTCGCATCCGCGGTGGAGAAAGGATTATCTATAGGCTCGGATCGGAATTCGTAGATTTTATTGGCTCGTTTCTTGGTCGAATCGCGATTTTCTCGCGTCCTCGATAAGGTAACTGGACTGTGAATCCGTTCCCGGAACACCGATATGCAATTATGCATACTTTTCCCCTTTCTTGCGAAAGAGAGTGCACGCTAACCGTGTACTCGACGCGTTCGTTCGTTTTCGTAATACGTAGTGAAATGGATCCGGCCGTTTCCTCTCCCTGCATCGGACGGGTTAAACGCGATAGCTTCGAGATAATCGAATTCACCGTGTTCGCGATCAACCTTCGATCTGTAAAGGCGAAATCCTTGGTACGTACTTGGTTAAACGGCTCCGTTTCAGCTGGATCACGATCGGATCCTATCCAATTCAGGATCGATCGTAAATGTTTCGTTAACTCTGCGCTAATTTGTTGCAAGACTTAATTTTACTATTGTACGATATCCCGTTTTGGTAAAGCATGGAGAAAGATGGACTAGTGATCACTAATCACTGTGTCACACAATGCTATTCCTGGTGTTCTCAATCCATTTTACACTTTAAATAGGATCGGAGCAAGAAAGTTTTCTCATTTATCGATACTAAAGCATTATTGTCATTGTGTGTGAGATACGTTAGCGGAAGAATGTAAGTCGTAGCGTTTTTGCCGCGACTAGGGGGTAGTTTCGACGCGGTTCGCGTCTCCGAACGCGCAATAAACGAGTGGACGTTCATTTATCTTTCGCGTAATTGCGCTCGCCAAGAGCGCGGAGAGATCTCCCGGGCGTAAATTAGTTTATCGTGGACAAGGTTTCTGTTAGACCCCGTTCACAATGGAATTCCAGTCGCCGTACGGCTCGCGCATGTTTAGGCATCGGGGCTTTTTGCCGGTGTCCGTGATCTTTTGTTTAGTCCGTACAAGGGTACACCATAATTTTCTCCAAAGAAAGACTCGCTCACGGGGAACGCGGCCTTCTCTCCGCCTCTCCTTTCTCTCTGGGGGCTAACAGAGACCGCGAAACCTGCTCGACTTTATTCCACTGTAAAGCGGAGTGAATTCTCGTTCTTGCCCGCGCCGCGCCGGCCAGATGATCGCCTCGTTTCGTGATTGCCACGCACTGGAAAATGATCGTCAGCCACAGGAACGAAGACGTATCGCTCTTCTTACTGTACCTACGCTTCGCTCCTCTTTTTCCTTCACCGTGCGAAATACACTTCCTCTAGCTCTCTTCTAGTCTCGCTCCATTATTCGCTTCGCAGAATATTTTTGTACCGATTCGCATAAGAAAGCCTTTCAACTTTAGCCAAGAGCAGCAAAGAGAAGATTAGAGACTTCACATGAGATCATCTATAATATTGTTCTGTCTTATTACTTATTGTAAGAAGGGACGTGCAATATCTCGATCGAAGATATGACGACGGTTTTAATTCTTGATAACGTCGTCACTGAACATTTCACAAAGAGAATGCTGTGTTATTTCAAACATTTCAATTATCTTTCGTCGCGGTTCGCGGGAAATCTGGGTCGTCGCGCGTCATTCTAGGTGAAATTTCTTTGATCGTCGTCGAAGAGGTTTCAGAGAAAAAGTCGTAGCTCGGTCGCGGATGCAGCTTTCGTAATGAGCGAAAGTGATGCGCATAAGTGACTCGTTTTTTAGTTTGCCGAGGTATGGAATTTGGAAAACGCGGAATAGACTCATGGTAGCTGCACTCCGTCGCCCGACGGAAGCGTTTCCGAGGAATGATGTATGCACCTCGGCGCGAGGGCTCATTAACATATTTCCAAGGAAAACGATCCGTCGAAGGCGTTCCTTCGAGAAATTGCTCGCAGGAATAAAAGTATTCCTAGCATGAGTCAATAAGTAAACTCTTTAATAAGACAGTGAATTTGTGATCGTTCGGTTCGTTTTAACAAATTTATTATAAATGGAGAGCGTAAGTGATATATGTTTAATGATACATGAAGGAAAGTTAGAACTTTCTTTTTATATTAGGGTGAGCTTATTAACTTTAATACGCTCCCGCTTTCTTTGCGTATGCTTCAGTTTCGGGTATTAACGTCAGATAGGAAGATCGCAATTGGAACTAGAAGAAAGTTTCCGATATTAAATTCGTTTTCTCTTTTGAGGTAAGACCATCCTCCGTGTCATCAGATAGTAATACGTTCTTAATTGAAAATGCACAGCGAGGATTATCTGTTGATCTTTCATGTCATCAGAAAGTCATTCATTTTCTAATCGCTGCTCTTTCACAATTATTATTCAGCTTCGAGAAAATCGCGAGTACTTTCATTGGTTGAAGCGCGGACGGTATAAAATTGAAAATGCACAACGAGAACAGATGAAATGCACGACGGAGGAAGCGTAGTAAGTACGGTGCTCTTGATGAATGACCGATTTAAGATTCTTCGGAGATATCGTACCTGCTCACGTGACTTTCCTTTCCACCTGAATGGCCGCCAAGCTTCTGCGTTTCCCTTTCTCTTTTCCGTACACGGTAGCCCTTTCTCTCTCTCACTCGGTTTCCTTCAGCTCGTGCCTTACACAGACGGTAGCCCCTAAATCTTCCTCTAAACATAATAATAGAGTTTGAAGAGGATCTGGCGTGCAGCGGCGGCGTTGTTGGAAAGTTTGATTAGCTCCTCGGATGAAGAGGCTCGTTCCGTCGAGATTGCTTTTCGTGGTTGATATTCCGTCTATGTTTTCTCTGGAATGCCGATACGCGGAACTTTTTTAATAATTATTTCTTGTTGTATCTTGTTCCTTTTTTTTCTTTTTTTGAAACCCTCATCGTTCGAGAGGAACGAAATAGGTATGGAAATTGTGATGAAGGTTGATCGGAAACCGAAACGAGTGGGATTAATACCGAGCTAATGAGAAAATGCTACAGAAACGTTATGTAAGCCTGGTGCTGCGCGTTAGGTCAATATAGAAAACTGACTTCGCCTCTTTCTTTGTGGGGGTTTCATAGTTTTATTCATATCGCCGTGCCGCGCAACGATATTCATATTTCTCTCATTGCCGGCTGCGCACGATTCTTGTTCGGTGTCCGCCTACAGCCAGCGAGTTGTACGTGAAACTACGTAGAAAGTCCTTGTACCCGATAGAAATAATAACGACGTCAGAAGTTCAATGCAACGTGACGAAACGCATAATGCACGCGACGAAGTGTGACCACTTCGAATCCATTCTGATTTCTCCGAAGCCACTTACTACGCTCTAGTATACACACTCGCTCGATATCGACAAACAAATCCGATCGTATTTATTTTCAAACACTTGCCACGCAATTGTTTTATTTAGCAACAGATTCGAATGAAAATCATCAAACTTTTTATGCGTTTGTAGAAAAATTGAATGTGAACGAAATATAACAGATGCATGTAATGTGCAGAGTATTGGAAATACATTATAAATTATTTTTTAAACATAAAAGAAATCTCGATTTTGTATTTCATTTTTCAAATCGACGAATTATCATTTTTATATAAAAATTGACGATCATTTTATTTGATGTTGCAGGCAACAAGGAAGATTTCAAAATGCGGCTACCTGTTCGTGGCTCCGGGCTGGGACTTCTCGAATCCGTTGAATCGGACGAAGGTAAGTGAAAACAAGATCTGTAATCTGGAATCTTTTGATCCGAGTAGCGGAAGCGCGGTGAAACGAAGGTGGTGATCGGAAATACGGAGCCTGGTCCATCGATCACTTCCGTTTCGATGCCTCGGGTCGCGTTATCGACAGTCTATGATCGCGAGATCGCGTTACAAGATCGATCGAACCGCGCAATTTTCTCATTATCGAGAAAGCGAGGATAACCGCGTTCCGATCTCGTGCCTCTCGATCCTCTTCGCTCGGAACGATCGATACGATATCCTTCTCTTCTCTTTTTCCTTTCCGTCAACTTATAGTTTACAATGCACGCGTTAAGCTGCACGTCCACTTGTATCCTCGTATCACCATTACGTGCCGTTGTCGTTCATAAATGTTATGATGTATTATAAAATATATAGGGAGAATCAATGAGAATTATCATTTAAAATATCATTTATTGATTTCATTTAAAAATCATAAGCCATTGAATAAAGAATTCATGTAGACCTTTTACTGAAACACAAGAATACGCAATCATTTTCTATTAGGTTTCAATTGAAATAATCTCTGATAGTTACTAATTTAAAGTATCTGTGAGATTCTTTGATGGTCAGATTAAGAAACTTACAACGGGTTACAAGTGGATACGCGGCTTTAACTGTTTCGATTTCATCGTCGGACGCTCCCAACTTCTGCTGAAAGCGTTGCTCCGCTACGTGACTGCGAAACGTAAACGGTTCCGATCGTTCGGTTTTTCTTTTCTCATTTTATATTTACGACCGCGAACTAACGTACCTTTCTAAACTTTCTCTGGCGACGCACGATCCTTAACGCTTCGTATATCGAATTTTTCCCGCGACCGGATCGATAAGACTCGCGACAACGCGGGACCGTTTCGTCGGGACCGAGGAGATTTATACCGGGGGCCTCACGTTCAATGCTCGAAGCACCGGCTATATTAATTCCCTCTATTGGTATCTCTTTTTCGCGACGTTGTCCTGGCGTTAAGAGAGAAATCGACAGGATTAATCGCTGTCCTCGAGTAGCCAATCCTGGCCACCTTAATTTAATGCTCTATTTCATACCGTAGAAATCAACATTTTTTAACCTTGAATCGTGTATGCGAATTTTACTCTCGAACGTAGTTTCATTATCAGACTGTATATTTTATGAATCTACAAAAAAATTATAATATATGCACATCGTGTCTAAAGATATCAAAATTATAAAATAAATTCCTATTTACATTTCATTTTATAAATTGACGTCAGAAATTGCATAAAAATCAACGGTGTATTTATTATCAACAAATGGTTCGATCATTCACGTTTATATTGCTTGGGTTTGATACACACTGTAGTGTAGTGTAGAGCAAGTATTTCGAGGCACGTGTGTTGGCTCGAATCGGATTGAAAGCGTGTAGGGTTGTGATTCTGTCGGACGCGCGAACAGCGAGTTTAAACGATCGATTATCGAATCCCGCGGAGTCCGCGTTGTCGAGGAACACGCGAGTAGAAAGCGGTCTCATGGATGACCGTGTTTGGCCTCGATCAACGATACTCTCCCTTGATTTCCTATGACAGCCGCGACCGGTCTTCCGCGAGTTTTTATCCGTTCCGCGAATAATCGAGAATCCTCTTCCGGTTAGTGCTCGTCGTTTACCTTGAGAGATGCCTTAGAATATGTACCTTGATCGCAGTATCGTTTTCATTATAATCAGTGACTCGCCGATTCGAAGCGGAAGGAGCGAATTTGAAAAACGAATTAATAAAACTGTTCAATTAAAATAATTTGTAGTTTTTCGGTAACCTCGAATACAGCGGTATAACTGAATGTGTAATAGCTAAGTAAACGACTGACGCGTATTAACGTCGTCAGAGGGAGATAAGAATAATGTAACGTAATTACAAGAAAAAAGCCCCGGAGCATTCAAATTTAAATTATCCCCACGTCATGAACGATCATATATCATTCCGAAAGGCAGACATCAGATCCGAACAGCTCCGCTGACGCGAACGCCACGTAAATCACTCTCATTAGATGCTCTACTTTAATAAAACGTGCTCTGCTCCTACATTTTGATTTATTCAAATTACTCCGAAAGCTTCGTTTTATTTGCATTGCGGCAATTTAATACAATATGATTTAGCAAAATTTTTTTATTCCACATCTGCGTCGTATCGTATTACGTGAAATGAAAATATTGACGAGGTTTTGAAATGAAATACGTGCAACAAACTCGAATCGTTGCAAGAACCTGATAAACGGTTGTAGCAGGCGAACCCGGAAGCCTTGTGGGAATCGAACGCGCGACGCGACAAAGCGTATTGTAATTCCCGGCCGATTCGAGCTATCAACGAAATTACATCGAGCGTAGACGCGAGCCTGTAAATCTCTGGCTCGTTTCACCGCGAGACGTCGGAGAAAGTGAATAATTAGAAGGCGCCTTAAGGCCTTAAAGGCCTTTAAAGACTAACAGCGAGGCAGTGCGTAACAGCCGTATACGTTGCACACTATACGTTCTGACTCTCCTTAATTAAGTGGATCTTGTTAATTCATGCGCACCGTGACTGAGATTTTCACCGTGTTTGCCGCGTTTGCTTGTAAATCGTCGATAATTCTGCTCCCTCAATGTTACTTCAAACGTTCCCCATTAATTGCGTTCATCGATTCGACTATAGAAATTACGTAGCCGCAATCGAAACGAATCGCGTGTAAGATTTGATAACTGTTTTCTTTCAGTTACTCTGCTATAGAATTTACTTATGTATGCATGTATGTATGTATGTATGTAGGTTTATGATGTCATCAAATACATCACGCTATGCGCAAACAAACATTGCAGTCGAAATTAGCCTCGATAACGATACGATAAGAGGCAAATAACTTTGTCGATAAGTTAGCTGTAGAATCGTTGCGTTTCGGATTAAAAACAATTACAACATACCGTATATTTAATGGCAATTATCCTCCAGGGCAAATTTTTACCTCGGCCGCGGTTATGAAACGCGTACAAAGGACGCGTGAGGACCGATCGACAGGCGATTCTACCTGTCGCTTTACCAACGATTAGTTGCATAACAATAATGACAAAGCGAACGCGTCGAAACGAACCGTGTACCTGCTAAATCAGCGTGTCAACGTGTTGCGTGGCCGATACCGATACCTACGAACGTTTACACGTGTCGATGTTTTGTCAACCATTCCCATTCGGGATCTCTGGATCTTTTTTTTTTTCACTGACGATCTTTAAATAATAGCCGCAATCAGGATACGGACCTTGTTTCTTTCGAGATAGCTCGCCTTGTTAAGTACACGATCGTTCTATTGCGCAATCGGCGCGTACGCATTCGACGTTGTCTGTATATACGAAGTGAGTCAGTGCAAACTGTTGGCTGAAGTAACTCATCATCTTTTATATTATTATGAAGTCTTAAAAAAGATTTTCGCGGTATTAAAGTAGATATTCATGTGATAAATTCGCATGAAAGCACGTTTTCATAAAATACGTAACGGGTTTATCACGAGCGCCAGTTGTTATTCATTCACCGTGTATTCCGTACGTATGTACACAGGCGTGCTTTTATTGCGTAACCGGCATACTTCATTGTTAGCCTCAACTCTTTGTAACCGAGGAAATAGTCTTATCAGGTGAGGAAAGAACGAATACTTTTCTTTTGTCGGCTAACCTCGTCCCACGCGAGCTTTGCACCATTGCCATAATTGAATTTATGCTTTATTAAGCCACTAGTTGTCAGTTATTAAGGACCTAGACCAGGGATTCCCAACTGGATTGTTATCGCCCCTCTTGGGGTCGATAGCCGAATATGCACCCACGATTAATCGGCGTAATTAAGATACCATTGATTACAAAAAATGTACTAATAAAATTGATAATCCTTAATCTAAATCTTATCTATAAATTATTTTTGTATAATTACTTGTATTATGATAATGTTTTATGCTTCATATTATAGAGAAAAATGTAAGACGGTCGATAATAATATGTAAGAAAACTATTTCTTTTAAATGATGTCGTGCATGAAAAGGGTTGGGAATCCGTCATGTAGACTTTCATTGCTACGCGATAGAACTTTGGACTTGTTATTGAGTTTAATTATTAGGGCACTCTGAAAATGGCACAAGTGTAAGATTATGGGTTTCGAACTCAGAACGTGACGTACATAGCTAACAATAAGTACCTACTTACGCTGCGTAGGGTAGAGATTATTAAACGTGGGCTGTGCTAAATTGTCGTTCAACTTTGGCCGAATTAATTAAATTATATTCGGGTCGCGTAACGTCTGACCCGAGCAGACTTTAATTACCTGCATTAAATTCGGCTGACCTAAACTCACGTTCCGGAAATATAAATAATAAACATACCACGAATTCTGCAAGTTTAATACCCATCAAATTTATAGTTCGCGAAGCTCGGAACTCATTAAGCAAAACGGTGATGGTGCTCGAGCAAAGTCGAATCTAAATCAAGCCTAAGCCATTTCAGTTTAGGCTATTTCCGATCTGGGTTACACTCGCCTCGACTCGCATTAAATTCACTCGCCGAGTCATCGTTTTCCCCTGTTCCATATCACTGTACGTATAGTGTTTCCAACGCTTTCGAGTCATTCATCATCGGAAGACGTCAAACGGGCGACCCAGTGAACGCCGAACGGAATCGGATTGCACGCGTCCCGGTGACACGCGTTGCGCCATCGCCGTTTAATCAGCTAATTAACGCGTGCACACCGGGCTTAATTCGTTTCTCGCGAACGGGATTGGCCTGAAATCGTGGGTCGGGGGAATTCGCGCGCACGAGATATTTTCCCAGCGAGCGAGAAACGCCAGAAGGAAATTGGCACACTCTAATGAACCCGCAATGCGCGGAAAAAAATCGAGGCCGAGCGTAAAATTCCTCGGTCGACGTTAATTTGCATCATAATGGACGTGCCTACTGTCCTCTGATAGCCCCCTCCCTTCCTCGCTTTCCTCTTACATTTTCTTTTTTC